AAATAGCATCGATGCGCGTCGCAATAAGCGTTTATTACGCAATTTTTTATCGATTTTATGTGATAAGCCCATACTTGTCGTCTAAAATCATCGATATGATTTTATCACGGCGCGCATCCTAGCCCGGCAGGTGAGATATAGGCGGCTTCCTCGTTGTGGATAAAAAAAATACACCTGCATAATAAGTTGCCAGTGCTAAGCTTAACATTCGCTTTCGTTGTTAGAAATGTCAAGTCCTTGCTTTCACTGCTATTGAACTTCATTCAACGTACGAGACATAATATAATTTCTAAGAACATTTTACACACAATTTTAGACTTTGATTTATGCTAGATGAAATTCATTTTAAAATACTACTTTAGTATGTAATATTCAGCATGGTTAAATTATAAAAAATTCATAAAATTCTAAGGTTATAAAAAATTCATAGGTTTCTAATGTTTCTATTCTACAGGATGATTTTTTAAAGTTAGTGCGGCTGACCAAAGAAAGAAATGAAAGTTGTTTTGAGCACTGTTTATGCGAAAAGACAATATCTTTGCATACTACCTTTTACCAGCGGGATCGCCTGAATTTTGGTCTGTCATAGAAAGATCAAAAATCTTTACCTAAAGCTTGGTAAATAATGAGTTTTATGGCTAACGTGAGATTAAATTCCTATAAAAACTTTTATCTTCATTTCATGTTTTAGTTTACCTAAGGTACGACACACGAAACTGTAGGTTACTAGGTACGGTACCTACCTAGTAGCTCAACTCCTTCTCCAAGATCCAAGATGGTTCAGAAGTTTAGGCGTGAAAAGGTATAGAAAGATAAGTGAGTTCTCTTCGCATGTCTAACATTTAACTCAGCCACAAGTCGTCCATTGCCTCCTAGAATGATGGCTTGGAATGGGCAGATGGTTTCAGCCAAATGATGTCCACTGGTTATAATATTAGTGGATGTATAATAAATACATTTTGTTGTTTCAGATCTGCATGGCTCTATCGGCTCTCTACCACACGTTTTCGTGTCGTTCCGAGAACGATTACAATACGTTCCTAATGTACGATCTCTTCGGGATCGCGCTGTCGCTTCTCGCGATATACACCTCGGGGGTCTACTACGCATTCTGGTGTCATTCTGTAAGTACAGTCACATGTCTACAGTATAGATGGTTTATGCCGTCGTAATAAGGTTTAAGTTTCAATGAAAATAAGGTAATGAAAACGGTATTGCGCTTGCGCATAGAAACTGCCCGCGACTTTTCCCGCGTGAGCTTTGTTACGTCACAGAAAGACTTCAACGCGCGCTGGAACTCGCATGTTTACAAAACCTATACATAATAAACATTATAAGTAAACATCCTATCGCCCGTATTCACAAACATAACTATGGGGGCTCAAAGTGCGCGTGGACGCACAGGGTGACACGTGAACCAATCATAGAGCTCTATTTAGCGCTGTGCGTTCGATTTGCTGCTTCTCTTAAGCAAGCATCGTTTGTGAATATGGGTGTAAGTAGCACCTATTACAGTGATATGATATTACACTGATCGCTCCGAAAAACGAAGCCCTTCTCGGAGCGAAGTAACTGTTACTATACTAATTCCATACAAAAAACGCTGGAGCGAAGGCTTTTCGAAATTACAACTGTCACGATTTCCCACTTGTCTAGGGAGGCTGTCATTATGTAAGTATTGCGCTTGCGATAGATAATCTTCGCGGTATGTGGCCACGTTGAGTATGGAACGGTTAGTTTCTCTGCAATCGCGATACTCTCTGAATTTATAATTCTGCTTAAGAATTTGCTCAGAAACTTGGTTATACGGAAAGGGTAATAAATGAGGTCGTTTACAACTGCAATTAGATCATGCATAAATATGTAAAACTACCGGATAATCCATTAGTATTTGATAATACATTTAATGTCAATAGAATTAAATGTTAAATGCCATTTTATTGCGTCTCTACATATTTCAAAGTCAACTAGGTACAAAAATCGCTAAGGTACCGTCTCAAAACAAATGCGCTCACAAACTTCCATCGAATTTTGTAATGGAAAAGAAAAGAACCTAACTGCAGTCATACCTATATCTGTGATAAACCTACCATTATAAACTCTACATTGTCATTATCTCAAATAAATGTAAAAATAGTTACTGGAGTAATAAAATTAAATGGTCATCAGTATGTCATCTTCAAGAGCACGTTACGGCATTAGCACGTAATGTCGTCCGAAATGTCAAAGGGCCACATTAGGCCACACTTAATTAAGTAGTAGTGGCACGCTGAGTATGATGAATAGATTCACATGGGTGGTCTATATGGAGGTAGATTAATTTATGGCATGTATTTAAATGATCTTTTTAAATTAGCAAAAACGGCAAATAAAAAAATCTAAATGGTCATCTATTTTAATGATTGATCCTCTTTCTTTGAGACATAAAATAAATGAAATCGATCGATATTTTAACCTATTTTGAACTACGCAAAAAAAATTTGAGATGTAAAAATTATATCTGATCGTTACTTGTNTGTAAATAAAGGAAATTATATTTAACCTTTAACTATGGACGTGAAAAAATAATCACACTCCCATGGACGTCGGGTCTCACAGACCCCTATCTAAAATTTTTCTTATTTTCATATCTGAATTAATTTGAATTTATTAAAGAGTTGATATATATCTAATAACTATTGATAAAGGATTTAGTGGAAAATGTAATCAAATTTTAACCATCATTTAATAAACTTTTTTGCAAATTTAAAAAACTCAGACAATTTTCAGTGTTAATTGACTTGCCATCACATATAGGCTCCTTGATTACAGTCGATTATTAATAAATTAAAGTAATATTTTTTTCCTTGCTAATTAATAACCATGTAACATAAAAACATGAACAAAATTTCTGAAGGATATGAATTAAAAATTTTGACAAGGGTTAAAGTTACTAAAATTATACACAGTGGCCTAGAACACTAAAAACAAATTATCTCTACAGGCATGTGTTATCTTTCTTTGAGAGCTTTGATAGACAAAATGTACACCATTCAGAATCGGAATCTGCAGCAATGGTGAATTCTAAGACAACTAAACTCAAAAGAAGAATTGTCTACATAATACCTTACTCCTGAAATGTTCTTTAGATAGTTGGGCTAATAATATAGCTGATGTACTCAGATACTTTCTGCCATTAAGTATTCTTAAACTAGAGCAATTTACTTAATATTATAAAAATATAATATAAAAAAAAAATAGTTGACAAGTCACATCCATACAAGTATGTTTGTATGGGGTCATTCCATCGTTTCGGGTGTTACATTCGTACACACATATTCAACAATTTCATGTATTTTGAAATAGTATTTTAATAATGTTAGTGCTTTAATCTGTCCGTTTTTAGTTGTTTTATCTAAATAATAAAGTTTGTACAGCTTAAAATGTAGGATAACGAAAATATGAGTCGAAAAGTGTGCGTTTCGGGCGTTACGAGATTTTGCCTCTATGTTCTGACTGTTGCTGCATTTACTCGAAATTTAGCGAATTTTCTTAAGGAATCATACCTAAAACTTACAGGACTTCTAAAGTATGAAATTTACAAACCACGTAACAAACAATCACTGTTACATAAAACGTTTTACAATTTTTTTATAAATTTTTTCTTTGTTTCGGGTGTTACAATGGTTCTGTTTCGGGTGTTACGAGTACGAAAATTCAACGCGTTTTATCGATAAAATCGGTGTTTTATTAGTCTTTAGGTATTACAAAATAAGGAGTACAACAAATAAACTCAAATAGAGCGAATTCTGGTTTGAAATTACGAAGCAGCTTTTCTAAAATAATATACAAAGTTCAAGTTTAATTTTTCCTCAGCATATAGCTTTTTCTATTGTTTTTGGCTTGAAATAGCATTACTTTAATTTCTAATTACGATATTTATTGGAAATGTCGAACATCCAGACTTTTTAACAATACCTTAATTTTAGTGTTAAGTTGAAATTTCGAAAAAGTTTAAAATGGAGAAATATGACTCCTTTTCCGATGCCAGCGCTAGTGGGAGGTCGAAGGACCCTCACAGTAAATACTTTTTGACTTTTCCAAGCAATACACAACATTATCGACATGTAAATAAAAATGTAAATACCCGAAACGTTTCGGGTGTTACAGTTTTTAATCAAGAAAAAAACATACTACATTAGTATCATGCTCAGATATTAGTTAGTATTTGAAATGATCACTACCATGACCTTACTCTTACCAAATATTATTACCCTAATCCATGTGTAAGATACAATAATGAAACAAATACCCGTTTTTTTGTTTCGGGTGTTACATCGCCGAAGTAACAAGAAAACACACTTAAAACTTGATGATTATCAATTTTTTTTGGGATTATGACGCTATCTACCAATACTATGATAAGTGCCCTTAAATCATATAGTGGCAAAACGGTTCACAGATTGATAGTTTTTTTTTAATCATATTACCAATAATTAGAGAGAAAATGATCATTCAGACAGTTGACTTTAGTATAGACTTTGAAGACTAATAACTTAAAAATTACTTGTTTCTTTCAGATTTTTTTTGTTGCACATTATAATTTGGAATGTTTACTTTTAAAATTCATCAAATTTAATGCGAAAAGAACATATTTAGGTTTTCACCCTCGGTAACATTTGTCATGGAATGACCCTATGGAAATTATAGTCATCGGGTCTCCCAGGCCCGGACAAAATTTTAGATGGTTATTACTCACGTAATAAGTGCCGGAAGACGCGATTTTATGCCTCCTCGGTCCAAACACAGCTAAAACTGAAGCTACTGAGATGGTCGAGAGCAGCACGTGGCGGGAAGGTGTTTAAACCGAGAAATCGGAAAGGGGGGTGGGCCTCTGAGACCCGACGTCCATAGTTAAAGGTTAAACAGTTGATAAAAAAATTATACTTGTATGAATTCAATTATAGGCAAATATATTTATTTAAAAATATTAGTAATCATGATTGATAAGACATAATTACCTTTGGATATGGTGAGTGCCGGAGACCACTGTGAGCGCAGAATGTCGAGGCAAATGGAACCATTACTGTTTATGTTGGGATGGTAAATACGTGTTGTGAATGCAACTTTTGGTGGTTTGAACGGGTAATCTGTTGGAAAATGTATGGTGAGGAAGAATACGCCTCCTTGATAGGGACTGTCAACCTGGAATAACAAACAACACAACATGTAAACTTGCATTTCGAAGACCTAAATTATAACGGAGGAAGTAATGTAGTGCATATATGTAAATAAAAATTTACAATGTTATCTCAGATAAGAGTAAAGTATTGATGTCATGACAATCAACAATCAGTTTATCTACACATTATTCCCAGCAGGTCAAATGATAAAAACTAAAATATTATTTCATCCTATTGCAATAAAAAAGTAAAGCCTATAACAATATGAATAATAAGGGTAATTACACTCAACAAGTAATAGATTGTAGCGGTATGCAACAAACTTGCTGATTTTAGAAAAAAAACTAGGTCATATCACTGACAAAACAATGCAAAGTAGGACACAATAGCGACACTGATGCATTATGATGCACTGATTGTTATGTTACATAAATAAGAATACAATTAGAACTTTATTTCTTATTGGATTGATGTTTTTGGTAAAGCAGTTTATGTAGGAAATATAAATGGTAACCTGCTTATAAGATCAGTAGCAAACAAAATTAGCAGACATGAAAATATTGTAATGTTTATCTGTATATCATGTTGGCTGCTAACCAAAATAATGAGAGCAATGACACCACATACATGTGTCTGAACTTCAAAGTTAATAATAATTCAAATTTTCAAATTTGAATTGTTTCTACGGTTAATTGAATTTAAAAGGACAAAATCAATAATTGGAATCAGATAATTACATTGATCTTCATGGCAAGTACTAATTTCCATAAAGCAATACTTAAGGAAATACAGCCTAGTAAAATACTAAATGTTGTTTCATAATTAGTGCAGTTATATTCAAACATTTTTACAGCAGCCTGAAATTTTATGCCTTGGGTGGTAACCTCTTTAAATCAATGTTTTTTTAATCCTCATTTCATACTGTCTGCTGGTGAGCAACTCACAAAAGCTTGTGATGCCTTACATTGAGTATAGCTGACTAAGACAGTGAAGTTTGCTTATTTTTAGAAGTAAAACCTGGAATGCAAGTGGAAAATAAATAAAATCACTTACTGGACCCATAATTGTGGCTTGCCAGTGGAAAACTGAAAATAAGGAGAAGATCACATTAGAACCTTTTACAGGGTCATTGACTCAAACATGTCATTGTCCTATTAGATACTAAACAAGGTGAATTTTCTTTGAAACATGCAGCAAAACAATGCATTCAAATTAAAAACTTGTTAATTTACTGAAATTAAATGCATAACTTGATTAATCAAGTTGTTACAATTTATATAATTATTAAACTAATAAGAACCGTGTTGTACTAATGGGTGTAGTCAATGAATCAAACTAGAAATTTGAAATCCATTAGTTTCATACAGTTAACAACACTGTTGATACCCTTACTTTTGGACTGATTACATCTGTAATATGCACAATTTCCATGATGTTTCCATTCGACGTCGTTTCTCAGTATTATTATTATACGACACAATGAGTCACAAAAAAGTAGTAGGTAGATCAATAGGTACTTACGATCTTCACCGTGTGGGCCTGCAGAACATTGTGCTGGGGGGTCTCTGCCGAGGTCTTGTAATTCCTAGACAATAAAACAAACCATCTGTAGGTATTCATACGACACAATACAGAGTTCGTCATGTCACATCATCACTTAGAAAATAAACTGGTGTTCATCGTCTGTCTCAAAACAAAGAACATGATGCGTGCGTTTGTCACAAAATTCGACCACGAGTTTCCAGCGAGGATACCATCACGTCACAGACATCCCACCATACAAGAAAACCTCAAAATTGGCACATAATTCCGACATTTTATGTACGCCGTGTGCACAAATTGTCACCTACATTATCCAGTAAAGCACCGTTATTCTCAACTTTTAGCTCGTATTATTCGATCGATTTCTTCTAATCTTTGGAGTAAAACCATCACGCACACGGAAATATCCAGAAGAAAATTCAATAATAGGTATTCACAATGACGAAACATTCACTATGAAGTCTTGACGCATATTTTATAGCACACTCATTTCAATACGTGAAATCCTTTCAAATAAACAAACGAGATATTAATACGTACCCTATTAATTCGTTTTAACGCCATTTGATTATTTTATGATGGAATAAATCGGCTTTCAACTAGACGAAACTGTGAGCCAAGGACCTTTGATTAGAGATTGCAAGATGGCTCCCCGTCTAAACGCAAAAGTACCACCCTAGTCGTTTTATGTAATATTAACTTCAATATCTAATTTACACAACTATAAACTTTAAATGCTTATGAAAAAAATAAGAATAACTTATAATATTATACAGTAAGAATTAAAATACGACGCAGTCTATACTAAAATTAGCACACTATCTGCGAACAGAGAACAACGAACAGGAAAATCGACCATTTATGAAGAGCGTTCAACAATGGTATACTTTTTATTTCTTGTCGTTGGTCATAGAGATATTTGTTAAAATAAGTATTTTAAACGTCTATAACATTTAGATAATTGAATTTAACGTATCATTCATTAAAAATCAATCATAAAGTTAATTTATAATGCTAAAAGAAGTCAATTTATATGAAAAAAATAAAGTTAATTATTTATACCCTATTTTGTTAATGGCAACATTATACAATCTCGGAAATGACGTCACATACGTATGAGGAAATGTATGAGGCGCTATTTTTGGATAAAGTAGGTACAATAGCTATTTTCACGCACATTTTTGCAATTTGAAACTTCCCCAGGTAATGTAGGTCAAGTAAATCATAGAAAAGATCTTTTACATAATGATAGAATTAACAAAATTCTGGAAACACATTAAAATAATGTAATAGTAGGAACAGTCTACAGAATGATCTGTGTACCTAAGTAATGAGGATTTTTATACTGGAATAATTATTATTTATGCATTATTCAATAAATAAACAAAAAGATACTAATTTTATCTAATATTAAAGCCATATTTATCTTAATGGTATGTGAAATATTAATATTTTTATGATAGTAGGATAGCTTAGAATAAATTCTTCTATGTAGAATAGAAGTACCTACCTCCATGGGATGGGCATGGGATAGACAGATCTAGAACGTGTAAAGCCACTCCAGCAGCACGTGTTTTGCCCATCACAAAAATATTATGTACCTACATTTTTTTGTAGACAATATTGTTGAATGTATTGATGTGTTTTTGTTGATTGTGTAGGGCAAAACACGCGCTGGGGCTAAAAGCCCCAGTATCTTCAATAAAAAAGTGTATCTAGAATACATTTTATTATAAACTAAGACACTAAAAATTAAAATATCAATTTACGAGTATGATCTTGGACAAGCTACTTTTTAAGCATTGTTCGCACTAGTCGAGTATTTTATTCAAGTGGCGAGTAAACGTGTCAGAAAATTAAAAATGTAGTTTAGTATAACCATAGTTAAGTAACTATTAGTCGAGTTAATTCATTTGTTCTCATGCTTCTCATAAAATACAACCACGTACTAATTAAAAGTCCTAAATCCTAAAGCCTATTGATTGCTAAAAAAACATTATCTAAGAAGAGAAGTATGTAAGTACTAGCTTTTGTCCGCGGCTTCACCCGCGTGAAATTTAGTTTGTCACAGATCGTCATAAATTATATCTTATAATATGTTATTCTGGGTTATAAACAATAATTATACTGTATAGTTTCATCAAAATCCGTTCAGTAGTTTTTCTGTGAAAGAGTAACAAACATCAAGACATCCAGACATCCAAACTTTCGCATTGTTAATATTAATAGGAAGATTAGCTTACAAAAAATTATAAAAAAAAATGTTTGATTCCACGACACGACACTACATAAAAAGGAAACTAGCTTAAATTGTTATCGTTGGTTTGGTTTTGGTTCCGTCGCATAACTTCCTGGCGGGAAACCTAAGAGTAATTTTTCAGCTGTTGTGTTTCATTTTGTGTATCCAACTATTACAGTCAGTCTGGGTAACTTTTGCCATCAGTATAACATTGGCTATCAGATTAGAATTGTTCTCTTTCTTCACCTTGATTTTATTTATTTCAACTAAGTATGATAAGCTTTAATGAAAATTTGAAGCGCTACATCATAACTGAAAGAAACGAAGGCCAAACATTATTTCATGGATGCAGTCAAATATTTTCATTTATTTTACAAAAATAAATATTTGGCTGTATGCATGAAATCCGAAGCCGTAAACTTGCATTTAAAAAAAACAAGATTCATGTCATGACGTTGATGTTTTGTTTTGTTGAAAAAAAAAAAACAGTTTTGCTTTTACTGTCAATGAGGTACGACGTCAGTGGTGGTTTTTGTGGGTGTCAAATATTCGAAAAGTAAATGGTGCTATGATTTTCAATTGTTATTATTAACTTTAATTTATAAAATAATGTGAAATGCTCTGATGAGAAGCAATAATATAACGAAAAGATGTATTAAAGTTTAAATTAATTGTGGTTAAAACAGAATTTATAGTTCCAAAAATTTTAAAATGAGTCTAACTATGACCAAAAAAGTTAGTGAATGCCAAGCGGAGACTGTACAGTTTATGCCTATAGAAAAAGTAAGTAATTATCCTTTGTTATTAGTTACCTAGTGTACTGCATAAATAAATACATTAAGTTGCAGTATTTTACTAGTATGACACTAATTCCATGTAGGTCAGCTGTAAGAAGAGATTGTTGTTCTTTTAGCACTCCTCAGCTTTAAATCTTATAAATATTTAGTAGGTAATACCCAAGGGCCTAGCCCATCTTTTTATGAAGATGGGTTTTTCCATAACTGCCAGATGATTGTATTTAGAAGAGTTACCTTGTACCATTATTAAAATTACTGTACAAAATTAAATGTGTATATTAAGCTTAAGCATTTGCTACAATAATGTGTTAAAGAGCTGGTAGAACCATAAAATAATGAGATTTGTAGAACAATAGGTCTGTCTTTTTTGTGTTTTATTTATCTTGATAACTTACATTCATTAACTTTTTACTTTCTTTCTTCTTAAACCATAATAGAAAACCATACTGAATAGTCAAATAAAGTAATATTTTATGGACCTGTATAATTAATAATGTCATCAATCAATTACCCAAATATTTTATGTTCTTTTGAACGAAACAACAAATAAATGCTTAACCAAGCTATTTTACCCACAGGTAGAAGATGAATGCAGTCCAGAACAGTTTTGTGCAGGCAGCACACTCCTCCGACGGGGTAAAAAACTGGAAGACAACAATAACTTGACAAAAGAGGACCTGGAGTACCTAAACTATAGACAGCTTCTCAAGTACGAGCAAGCTCCGTATTACCTGCAACACAATCCCTTCATCCGGGATGGATATAGAAAATTGTTACCTACAAAACTATGCTGGGAAAGGTAAGCTTACTCTTTCTTATTCTTAAGTCTTTATCTGTCTTTCAAGCTGTAGATCTTGGCCTTACAGGACTTGCAGCGGTCGTCATAATAATAATGTATAGTGCTGATGCAACAAAAACTTGCTAATAAATGATTAAGGGTTCAAGGGTTGGCTGTGTTAGTTAAAGAGTTAGTCCTATTTAATTAAACCAACAAAGAAACAGTTGGTGAAGCTTTCTTTAATGATTTTAGTAATTAAGCAAAACAAATGAAGAATTGCAAATTAAATAAAAATGTTAAAGTTTTTCTGTGCATTTATAATAATTACGCACAGGTTGATAGTCAAGTAGAATTAGCTTTTAAATTGGAAATAATTCCTACAAAAGATTTTATTGCTTTAATGTCTTCATTGGTTGCCCATTAAGACTCTCCTAAGTTTTCTTTTGTAGGAATTATTTCCGATTTAATCAATTTTTGTGTTCAATTCTACTGGCCTATGATGTTATTGTGACAATTAGTACAGCCTTACTTGCATTTACTATGAATGATGTCACAAATATAAATAAGCTTTTTTTAAATAATGTTGTTACATAAAAAGCTGTAATTATGTAAAGTCTTCCACCTCTATTGTTAGAGCATTGGCTAAGTCACAAATTACTCTTAATAATATTATTATTTTCCAAGCTATGTGATTACGTACATATTACGCACGTAATATTGTAATTGGCCTGTAATAGGCTAGTTGCCTAAAAAAATTTTTTTAGTCCGTAATGTTTAATATCAAAAAATATTGGACACATATATTTTTATTTGTCAATCTAACAAATAATTACATAGTTATGGTGCGTTGAAGTTGCGCACGACGTCACAACGGGCCTCTTCTTATGAACTTTGGGGCGCTTCATCTCTTTAAATTTTCATTAGTTTGAAAAAGTGAAAAATACGTGTAGAGTATTTTTTTGTAAGTTAACTGACGGACTAATTAAAACTCTTGCTTTTTGACCCAGGCAACATCCCCATTATGCCGTTTTTGTTTACATAGGTATTTAGCGACCTTTCAAGTCTATTATTTATCACTGTAATTAGTAATAACAGTTAAATTTGAAATTTCAAAATACCTAGATTCAAGCATATGATTGAATATGTAGACCAGATTATCCTGAATCTACTGATTCATAGATTTATACATGATGTAGGTACTAATATCGTTTATTAAACAGCTACCTGCATAAACAGCTACAGTTCTCGTTCTAGATACCTAGAAGCCGGTTTTTATTTCGGCGCCCCTTTTTTGTCGTAATTTCCACATCCTCATCTTAGTCTCTAGATTACTAATGTATTTGCCCGTTTTCACCATCAATGGATCAATCCCAAATTTTTAAGTGACCCCTATGGTGATAACAGGACTTTTGTTTTCATGGGAGTCACATAAAAAATAGGGATTGATAGTGAAAACGGGCTTAAGTGCTCTGAATTTAGGCTCCCCATTGCAGGCGGGAACGTAGAACGCCTGATCTTCTCACTCTATCCTCGGTCAACTCTGGGCCTTAATTAGACTAAGTACTTTTCTAAGTTCATGCGAACGATATTTGCTTGAGCAAGACTTTAACTAGGTATTGCTGCATCTAGTAATTAGATTGTAGATCTATCTATCCTTGACGTGTCTCCATCATCAAATGCACTTTTGTAAAGATAGATGGTTCTCGATTGTAACGCTATAAATTCAATTCTAGTGGAAAAAAACGATCGCGAAACCTCTATCATACATAGTGTACTTCATTTAGTACCTTCGAGCATACTGAAATGGCGTATTTGGAGTGTAACGGAATAATTATGTTACAGTATATCACCGTGTACCACCGATACTTACACATTGGTGTTGTGTGTAATACACACATATGGATTAGTGTGCGTATACAGATTTCCTAATGTCTCACTTTCTAGAACATGATAATTAAAGTTCTAGGTGCCTTTAGTAAGGAAATGACAACATCATTGGAATGAGAACACCCTGTGTTTGCGTAGTGGTTTTCCTTTACGGGTTGTATAAAAAACACGAATACTATAACACATAGGTAGGTACTATACCTACGCCCAAAGCTGCAACTTGCAATCGTAACAGTTTAGCTGAAAATCAATAACATCGCTCAGCAATGCACCTAAACGCATGACATGTTTATGATTTTATATTAGATGTCCTTTTGTTTTTCTTTGTTAACACGACATAGATTACTTAAAATACATAAAATATAAACCCAACGTACACATTAACTATTGTGAACTTTCTTTCTTACAAAAGAGTAGAGTGGTTCTATATTCTAAGAAAATAAGTACATTGTTAATAATTGTTGCTCTAAATCTGCTCGTTATTATTTTATGATGCTCTACATTTAAGGAGATGTTTACGAATGAGAAGTTAATATTTAAAAAGAAAATGCCCAAAAAGCCTAAACCTGCACTAACAATGCAGTCACAGAAACCGTTGTTAACCACAACGGCATAGCAAAAACACTCGCCCGTATTCACAAACGATGCTTGCTTAAGTGAAGTAGCAAATCAAACGAACAGCGTTTAATAGAGCTCTGTGATTGGATCGCTTGTCACCCTGTGCGTCCACGCGCACTGTGAGACCTCATAGTAATGTTTGTGAATACGGGCGTATCTTCATTTTGTGAGATCAAGCATTGTCCCATGACTTAGGCTGGTTTTTGTGTCACACGGACTGTCAGTGCGGATCGCTCCGCACAGCCGATCTGTATGAACTGCTAGGGAGCGGAGCGGTTCCTCCGGACCGCATTACTCTAAAACGCTCCCTAGAAGTTCATACAGATTGGCCGTGCGGAGCGGGTCCACACCGGACGGTCCGCGTGACACTAAAACCAGCCTTACTGATACATTCTTGCAGCATATTCTGGTGGACCAACGAGACGATGAACATATGGACGCACATATTCGGCTTCTTCTTGCTGCTGTTCCTCACCATCAACGATCTCGTCATCATCAACATCCACGCCACGGTCACAGACAAGATTGTAGCTGGGATACTGTTTTCTTGTTTTCTGGTAAGAAGACTGATATTCTACTTTGTATGTAAGCTTTGACAAAAGAAATACCTCCTTCTTAGGTTTTGCTTTGTAGGATTTACAATCTCGTGAATCATAGCCCGGCTGATTAAAGATGGACAGCTCTTCATGCTTAATAGTTAATTGCCTAAAAATACCTACCATTAAGTAGGCATCATTTTATTTACATAAAGGCCAAAAAGGAACAGTTTCCACTTTTATCCTTTAAACAAGGTTCACAACAGTCCATAAATATATGAGAATTGTGTAAGATAATAAACCATACATAGGTGCTATTTATTTTGTTACAAGACGGATTCTATAGCCATATACCATATTTAGCCAGCCGTCACTGTAGCGCAACAAAGTGACGTGTCTGTTATGAAATGAGCGGGACCACCATTGGTCCACACTTCGAAAGTCTGCGCTCGGATGACCGACCTGCTTTCCTCAGTGAAAGTATAATTTAAAACAATTTTAATGACCATCGATGCTGATTGTTGCCACCTAGAAATGTGTCATTTTGCGTATACTTAAACAGCAAAAATCTACACTAGCCTTTATCCTTTAACCTACAGTTGTAAAGGCATTAAGAAATTCTGCTTACACATATTATACCCATACTCTTTATAGAAGGTACAGTAACTTAAGTGATGCACGCCATTGGAGAAGTGTTGTAGAATAATTTTATCCTATCTGAAAGTTCTCCACTTTTTTGTATTTTTGTTGACTTAAAGTATTCTAACAAGAATACGAGAGATGCTTGTTTTACTAAGCAGCAGGGATTAATAAAATTATTATTTACATATTATCTCTAGATAAGCAGTTAGCTGTAGAACACTGAAACTGGTTCTAGAACTTAACTTTAACTTTGATTTAGTCTTAAACCTTTACTATTAAGATCGTGTTTAAGGTTTGTATTTACAACTTGCGTCCTTGACTTCCACTCTGTTTGCATGTTATGTAATTTTCGTAACCGGATTACTTAAATTGTTTGAAGAAGGTATGTCATAAATTCCTAGATGCGTAATAATGCGCTTGACCTACTAATGATTACAACAATAATGTAAATGGGATATTATTAAGAATGGACACAGTGAAGTTATTTTTAACTTTGCTTAATTTGGAACTGGATGGCGCAGTGTAGAACAAAGAAAGAAAGTTGTCATTTGTAAAGTACAAAAACTTTTCTTTTAATAGTTTTTCTACAGTTAGGTCTACCAAAGTTTCGATAGCTAACGTGAAGTGGACAGCACATCTGACTACATTTTAAATTTTTAGTTGCAAAATAGCATCGATGCGCGTCACAATAAGCGTTTATTACGCCATTTTTATCGATTTTATGTGATAAGCCCTTACGGCGCGCATTCTAGCCCGGCAGGTGTGATATAGGCGGCTTCCTCGTGGATAAAAAATACACCTGCATAATAAGTTGCCAGTGCTAAGCTTAACATTCGCTTTCGTTGTTAGAAATGTCAAGTCCTTGCTTTCACTGCTATTGAACTTCATTCAACGTGCGTACGAGACATCATATAATTTCTAAGAACATTTTACACACAATTTTAGACTTTGATTTATGCTAGATGAAATTCATTTTAAAATACTACTTGGCATTTTAGTATGTAATATTCAGCATGGTTGTTTATAAATAGAAAGGTTTCTATTCTACAGGATGATTTTTTAAAGTTGGTGCGGCTGACCAAAGAGAGAAATGAAAGTTGTTTCGAGCACTGTTTATGCGAAAAGACAATATCTTTGCATAACTACTAGCTTTTAAATATCAGCGGGATAGCCCCCCTGAATTTTGGTCTGTCACAGAAAGTTCAAAAATCTTTACCTAAAGCTTGGTAAATAATGAGTTTTCATGGCTAACGTGAGATTAAATTCCCATAAAAACTTTTATCTTCACTTCAAGTTTTAGTTTACCTAAGGCACGACACACAAAACGGTAGGTTTCTAGGTACGGTACCTAGTAGCTCATCTCCTTCTCTAAGGTCCAAGATGGTTCAGAAGTTTAGGCGTGAAAAGGTATAGAAAGATAAGTGAGTTCTCTTCGCATGTCTAACATTTAACTCAGCCACAAGGCGTCCATTGGTGAACACATGCCTCCTAGAATGATGGCTTGGAAGGGGCAGATGGTTTTAGCCAAATGATGTCCACTGGTTATAATATTAGTGGATGTATAATAAATACATTTTGTTGTTTCAGATCTGCATGGCTCTATCGGCTCTCTACCACACGTTTTCGTGTCGTTCCGAGAACGATTACAATACGTTCCTAATGTACGATCTCTTCGGGATCGCGCTGTCGCTTCTCGCGATATACACCTCGGGGGTCTACTACGCATTCTGGTGTCATTCTGTAAGTACAGTCACATGTCGACAGTATAGATGGTTTATGCCGTCGTAATAAGGTTTAAGTTTCAATGAAAATAAGGTAATGAAAACGGTATTGCGCTTGCGCATAGAAACTGCCCGCGACTTTTCCCGCGTGAGCTTTGTTACGTCACAGAAAGACTTCAACGCGCGCTGGAACTCGCATGTTTACAAAACCTATACATAATAAACATTATAAGTAAACATCCTATCGCCCGTATTCACAAACATAACTATGGGGGCTCAAAGTGCGCGTGGACGCACAGGGTGACACGTGAACCAATCACAGAGCTCTATTTAGCGCTATGCGTTCGATTTGCTGCTTCTCTTAAGCAAGCATCGTTTGTGAATACGGGTGTAAGTAGCACCTATTACAGTGATATGATATTACACTGGTCGCTCCGAAAAACGAATCCATTCTCGGAGCGAAGTAACTGTTACTATACTAACTCCATACAAAAAACGCTGGAGCGAAGGCTTTTCGAAATTACAACTGTCACGATTTCCCACTTGTCTAGGGAGGCTGTCATTATGTAAGTATTGCGCTTGCGATAGATAATCTTCGCGGTATGTGGCCACGTTGAGTATGGAACGGTTAGTTTCTCTGCAATGCGATACTCTCTGAATTTATAATTCTGCTCAAGAATTTGCTCTGAAACTTGGTTATACGGAAAGGGTAATAAATGAGGTCGTTTACAGCTGCAATTAGATCATGCATAAATATGTAAAACTACCGGATAGTCCATTAGTATTAAATAATACCTACATTTTAAATTCAATGTCAACAGAATTAAATGTTAAATGCAATTTTATTGCGTTTCTACATATTTCAAAGTCAACTACGTAAACAGCGTTTTGGAGTAGCCCTGCTATATCAGGGAACTTTCACTTGGCTGCGCCGGCGCATCTGACATTGCCCCTCACCCGAATCAATTTTTGTCTGTTGAATGACGACATGTAGTTTTCTTTCAAAACCGGTTTACCGGCGTAACGGACACAAACTATAGTCAATAGTAAAGACCGATGTAGAGACTCGTCGGGCTAGTCATTTGGCGAATTAAGTAGGTATATAACTAAAAAAGAGGATCAAATATCATTTTTGTATACCAAATATTAAAAGAGCATGTTAAACATAAATATTATGTTACCTTTAATGAAGATCATTCATAATTTATCCGTAGATCAACTAATATAGACCTAATAATTAATATAAAGATAAAATGTAATAAAAAACATCATTTATTTTTAAAAGTGCACATACAAAAAAGATCAATTAGTTTTTAGAGGATCAAATAATATTGTCCCTTAATTTATTTATAGAGTTACTAGCTTTCCGCCCGCGGCTTCGCCCGAGTGGAAATTTATCTGTCACAGAAAAACTTTATCGCGGCGTCCCTGTTTCAAAAACTGGGATAAAAACTATCCTATGTCCTTTCCCGGGACTCAAACTATCTATGCCAAATTTCATCAAAATCGGTTCCGTGGTTTAGGCGTGAAAGCAAGACAGACAGACAGAGTTACTTTCGCATTTATAATATTAGAATAGATTTATGTTACTTGCGTCCAAATATTTGTAATACAAAAGAGATTGGCAAATACATTTTGAGTTGGACCACTTTATCCCATATCTGGCCATTAACTTAAGAAGATATTATCCAGACTGCAAGATATGAGTATACTTACTTTTAATCACCATAATAGATTTACGAGTATAATGTCGTTTCCTGTTATTGTTCCCATCATTACATAATAATTATGCAAAATATGCCTAGGTACAATATTCATAGTGGAATACCCTTGTGTCTTTAAATGTTAATAAACACAAATTTTCTTTAAATACCCGGAATATCACACAAAACAGAATGTTTTTAATGTCAACGAAGGTGTGTGATTTAGATAATTTGTATATCATTAATTAACGAATTAATTAGAAACACATTATCAACAAACAAATGTCAACAAACTTTACTTGCAATTCTTTTGTCATGTTATTCTTTTATTTACTTAACTGTAGGCTTTTTAGTCGCAAGAGAAAGTATAAAAATTGTTACTTACCGGTTACGTTTCGTGCGCCTATTTTATGTAAAAATATTTTACTTTCTTGCTGATTAAGTTTAATTATTTTTGTCCAATGTAATTAATTGCTTTCTTTTTAATTACATTGTTACTTACAGACGAAATACCTAGGTATTTGTGTGATAACTTGTCACATAATTCAATTTTACCTAACTTTACTAATAGATCAATATGATTGGAATACATTTTATTAATTTTTATTGTATGTACTATAAAAGTCTTTTTTTTTCGACGCTATATTACTTTTTCTCTTCTACAGGAGCACGAACGACCCTAAGGTATGTCATATCAAAGTCTAGACACCTAAAGACAGGATTTGACCTACATTCCCCAGATTGGGGATGGGAAGACAGATGTTCCCATATTTGTCCCTTAGTCGCCCTTTACGACATCCACGTGGATAGTAGGACCACTACTCTACTTTGTCTAAACCACAATACTTTCCAAAGAATGTAAATTTTACGTAAAACATAGTTATAACAGTGAATCTAACGGCAGCCTTTATAGCCCTTCCATTAACGCAGTGTGCCAATCTGCGGGGTTACTCCGAAAAACGCTATGAAGTTTCGAATGTTGCTATCCCTCTCACGCAAAGCGAGATACCAGCATGAGCGACGGTGACAGATAGACTCCAAACTACGGAAACAGCGTTTTGGAGTAGCCCTGCTATTTCAGGGGACTTTCACTTGGCTGCGCCGGCGCATCTGACATTGCCCCTCACCCGAATCAATTCTTGTCTGTTGAATGACGACATGTAGTTTTCTTTCAAAACCGGTTTACCGGCGTAACGGACACAAACTATAGTCAATAGTAAAGACCAATGTAGAGACTCGTCGGGCTAGTCATTTGGCGAATTAAGTATAAGTATTTTTAGAAACTGACCTTTGTAACTACAAATTTATTTTTGGCAGTTTTGTAGAGTTAGCTTTTTTTAATCGGTTTTTTTCTGTATGCAATTTCAGCCTTTTAATGATTTAGTAATTTATTTGTTAACCAGAATCCAACAATATTATAAAAATGTGAAAGTTTTTAGGATGGTGGATAGATGTTTGTTCCTCTTTCACGCAAATACTACCGAACGGATTTGATGAAACTTTACAGTATGATTGTTTAACATTTCAAACTCTTTTTAGCATTTTAATTTTTTTTAAGCTTCTGATTGATTAACCTAGCAATTTCGCCACATATACTTAGTACGTAAAAAATACATGGTGAAAGTAGTTTCTTTCTACCTACTCCTTGCGGCTTTGTCCGCGTGGGTTTCAATCTGTCGCAAAAAGTCTCCGTGTCCGTCCAAATCGATTCTAAAGGTGCAATCGATTAAATTTTAGGAATGCATTTAACGATAGCAATTTTGTAATCGAAGACAGCAAGGCCATGGTCAGCGATCTATTGATCGCATGTTAATAAGCCGGGCCTTCATGTATCCTTGCATTACTTGTTATCTTTACCTCAATAGCAAACATCCAATGCGATAAACTAGTCGATTAGATAAAGATAATTTGTGGATTATAAACAAAACTGTGCTAATTTTTACGCAGTTTTCTGACCATGAGATAACGAATTAGAATTTTAATTACTTATTACAATAATTTCAATAGTTATGAGCTCTTTGGAATCGTGGTAGGGACTTAGATTAATCTAACGGTAGGGAAGTGAACATTGATGAGATAATATTGTTCTACAAAAATAGTTTTATTAGAGCACCAGAATCACTTCATTCCGTATCTAATAAGTTTCTTTTACATCTTGTTTATAAACTTTTTCTTTGAAACAATTGACAAATCTATACTAATATTATAAATGCGAAAGTAACTGTCTGTATCTCTTTCACGCCTAAACCACTGAACCGATTTTGATGAAATTTGGCATAGAGATAGTTTGAGTCCCGGGAAAGGACATAGGATAGATTTTATCCCGGTTTTTGAAACAGGGACGCGCGCGATAAAGTTTTTCTGTGACAGACAAAATTCCACGAGGGCGAAGCCGCGGGCGGAAAGCTAGTATCTCATAAACCCGCGACTTCATCTTAACCGGCCGAGTGGATTATTTCTTCAACATTAATCCTTAAATCCTAACCACAATCGAGCAAGCCCATTTGGGTCGAAGGAAAGATCCCAGCCCAGACCACTAGACCTTCGAAGTTCTGGGTTTCTTAATAGAGGTTTAAACTGTTAATCGATGCGATCAATCAGTATGCGTGCACGCAGCTCGATGACAAACATTACGAAATGAAGCGACACTGACCTTAGCACGTGGTACGCATTACATTTCTTTATTCAATTAGTACTGCTGCACTGCACCACATGAAACTGTGTACTTGACACAGCAGTTTGCTCACTTGATTGGATTTAGTTAAATTGTGTACCTACCTACTAGGTAAGAAGCAATGTTACAAAGAGCATGGGATCTGAGTCCTTTAGAATATAATAATTTCACAGACTTTTTAATCTGAAGGCCCTTTAATTATTTAGTTCGCTGTTCAATAAAAAAATTGTTACTTTACATTTAAAGAGTTTTATTTTAATGTTCAACACATAAAACTGACATCGCTGTTTTAAATAACATTGTATCAACCCAGTGTGGTTTTACTAGTAGGAAGATGTAGGTACTTGACTATTTCAACAAGACTTTCCAGTTCAGCAATAATGTTAGACAATTTCACAATCGATGTTCGAAGGCCTTCTTGCAAATATAGAGGACTCGTAATTTTACTTTATCTACATGAAAAAGAATGTTGAATAACTTTATTGATAAAATATAGGTTTTTGTGTATTTTTTCCCTTTCTTGAGTAAATAAACAGCGCTAATATTAATTACATCAATCAGGAAAATGTTTTAATCATCTTGGTCTCATGAATGCTTTAACTTTATAACTAAAAACCGATCTAAGCGTGGCGTACCTACTTTATTACATATCTATATATATAAAAGAAAGTCGTGTTAGTTACTTCGCTTATAACTCAAGAACGGCTGAACCGATTTAGCTGAAAATTGTCAGGGAGGTAGTTTAGAGCCAGGAGAAGGACATAGGATACTTTTTATCCCGTTCGAAATAAAAAAAAAGTCTGCTTATTTATTGCCATTAAGGCGGAACAAAGTTCGCCGGGTCAGCTAGTATGCTATAAAACTACATTTTACCAAGTTGTTGAAATAGAAATTCCTTATCAGCAGCCCACGAAATTACTATGTATTGCATTACATGTGTAATTCAAAGTCAAAATTCCGTTATTTGCATGGACTATTAAAAATTATTGAATAAGGACTACACATAAAACAGAGAACGGGCAGCATCGCTTTCTGATAAACATTAATCTTTTAAAACTGCGATATCCAACCCGCCTGCCTGCTGAAGTTGTCTCAAAGTCCAGCAGTGGACTGTAAAAGGCTGTTGATAATGATGATTATTAAAAATAGTTACGAATCGTTCAATATTAAACAAAGACTAATAAAAAATCTAAATTTTGCTCTTATGGACCTCATAATCATTTTGCCCTACCAGCGCTTCGAGCCCAAAATTTAACTTAAAATGGACAGTTTGACACCATTCTCCAATAATTCGAAATCACAACTTTTCTAAAAAGACACTTCATTCTGGTCTTTAAAACTTAATTAATTTTAAATTACCTGTAAAATACGATTTTTGGTCGCATCGTAATTAAAAAAATAGTTTATTTGTGTTGACAAAATAGTGACGTCACTTGCTTGTTGTGCCATACAAAATCTATGGGAGGTTTTTTGTTTTGACAGTTTTAAAAAGTACGTCAATTGATTGGTGGTTTCAACACGTCTATTCTCTCTATTCCAGGAGCTGAAAACCTTTTACATGACATCAGTGACGCTGATCTTCATCCTGGCGATGGTGCTTCAGATCCCGCGGCTGAATGTGCCTTACTTGGTGAAGATGTGCGTGTTCATAGGCTGGGCCGCGTATGGCGTGCTGCCTACGCTGCACTGGACTTATGCTATGGGAGGATTTGAGAATCCTATGGTCCAGGTGAGATATATTGTTTTAAACTTTCATGGTCACTAACATAATAATAATTATTGACGGGATTGCTAAGGTACATGGTAGTAATCCTGTCAATAATAATTATTATCCAAGTGAGATGGTTAAATAAATCCTGAAAATTGTCGTTATAGTAATAGTCCCGTTAAATCTCGTTCTGAGTGCTGAGTGAGACATCTCCATCGTCTTGAGTGGCTCGGCCAAATGAGCCGCTCATTTGCCTGCGCATGCTCAAGTGACAAGAGCCCTCATTGGGCTATCGTTTTAGTGCTCATCAGAGGGCCTAGTGAGAGTTTACATCAAAAGCACTAAAAAAAAATTGTATGACGGATTGTACAGCGCCCCTTGCGGAAACGTTCAAGAACTAAAATTTTCATACATGAGATGTAAACTCACGCAGCCCACAGTTGGCGCCATTGTAGAGTAAGGTCCTGTCATTTGCTACTGGCGCCAACCGGTAAGCGCTGAAATGGTAGGAGGACTATCGCACTTGCATTCAAGATGGCGCCACTGTAGAGTAAGTTTTACACTCGCCAGTGGTGCCAACTGTTGTATAAAAAAACGATAGCCCTCATATTGATCAAATCGAACGAATGTGGGTGCTACTATTATTTAACTGTTACTAAAATGTTTTTTTTTTCATTTCAGATGTTCTTCCCTAGAGTTATAGGGATGTACATCATAAGTGGGACAGCTTTCGTGATATATGCCTTCAAGGTAAGTAATCAATTTATGTTTATCGTTCAGTGCTTCAAAAAAAATCTCAGTCTCTAAATATTTGAAATCCTGTGACGTCATTAAACAGTGTTAATAAAACTATACACAACATCCCATACTATTATAGTTAGTAAGGGCGCGTGTTACGTGACGTCACACTCGCCTAATTCCATAAAAAGTTAAAGCCTGTATTTGTATTTTATTTCCAGTCCAATTTCACATTTTACTTTGATTTAAGTACTTTATAATACATCTAATTTTTTAAAATAATTTTTNAATAATTTGAAAAATTCGAACTGCCTAATGTAGGAAACAAACGAACGGTACCACTCGAAGATCGAGAGGTGACTCTTAGAGTAGGCGCACACCGTTGATTTTTAGTTGGCCGATAGTTGTGCCCGATTTTAAATTGTATGAAGAATCGGCCAAATCGAATCGGCGTAGTGTGCGCACTCCCATACATGCCCATACTGATCAACTGCCCGACTAAACTATCGGCCGACGAAAAATCAACGGTGTGCGCCTACTTTAAAAGTAATTTTCCACAGGTGCCAGAGCGCTGGTTCCCAGGGCAAGTCGACTACATCGGGCACTCGCACCAGTGGTGGCACGTGCTAGTGCTGGGCGCGCTGTACTACTGGCACAACTCCGGCATGATGTACGTGCAGTACCGCATGAACCACGGCTGCGCGAATACTATGCGCATATTCTAAGCTAGAATGGACCTTATTGCAGTGTCTTAAGACTCAAAATAATAATTAGTAACCATGTCTCGTCCAATAACGGCTATTTTACCTTGACTTGGGGCTTGCTTGTCGCGTCACTACATACGCTCGCCGCGCGTTCTAAATTCAATTTCAAAAACATCGCGCGACCACACTAATTGCAAACTTAAGTCTTATTGCCTTGTCTTAGGCCCCAAAAAAATTACATCAGCCTGTAGCATCTCTGCCAACACTAAGCGCATATTCTAAGCTAGAATGGACCTTATTGCAGTGTCTTAAGACTCAAAATTAGTATCCATGTCTCGTCCAATAACGGCTATTTTACCTTGACTTCAGCTTGTCGTAGGCGCGTCACACTACGCTCGCTGCGCGTTCTAAATTCAATTTCAAAAACGTCGCGCGACAACACTAATTGCAAACTTAAGTCTTGTTGCCTTTTCTTAAGAGCCAAAACAAATGCACTCGCACCAGTTGTGGTGACACAAGCGCTGTACTACTGGCACAACTCCGGCATGATGTATGTGCAGTACCGCATGAACCACGGCTGCGCGAATACCATGCGCATATTCTAAACCTTATCACCTTGTGTTAAGATTCAAAATCAGTAAATTGCTTGCCGTAAGCGGCGTAACCAAGCGGTCCTAAAGTACGCTCGCCGTGCGTTCTAAAATCAAAAAACGTCTTTGCCAACACTAAGCGCATATTCTAAGCTAGAATCAACCTTATTGCATTGCGTTAAGATTCAAAATTAGAGTCGAGCGCATACCGAGATTTGAATTTCGAAGGAAGCTCGCGTTTCGTCCGTTTATATGAAGTTACAATACTGTATGATAGTATTACCGTGCCACGGCTGTGCCAACACCATGCGCGTATTCTAAACCTTATCACCTTGGCTTAAGATTCAAAATTAGTAACCACGTCTCGTCCAATAACGGTTATTTTACCTTGACTTCAGCTTGTCGTAGGCGCGTCACACTACGCTCGCCGCGCGTTCCAAATTCAAAAACGTCGATCGTCATCGTCATGTACCACGTCTGCGCCAACACCATGCGCGTATTCTAATCCTTATTGCCATCTAATAAGATTCAGAATTAATATTCATTAGCCTCTGCGCCAACGTATATTCTAAACTAAAATGGATCTTATTGTCTTGTCTTAAGACCCAATGCAGTGGTGCCAACGTACTTGTCTACTCGTAGTTTTGATTTGGTAGGTATTGCTCAAAAAATCTTTAGCTAAAGATGTGTCAAAATAAAAGGTGATCTTCCCTTTTTCTTCGTCTAATGTTTTAAGAGGTCTGTCGAATTCAGACCCAAGAAATTAGCATTCTCTCTATTACTATTCGAAAGAGAAAAAAATTATGGGTTGTGTGCTCAGATCAAATTCAAACTCAAATTCAAATTCAATAATTTATTTGGTAGAATACATAATTACATGCCCGTTTTACAAGGCAGATCTTATAGTTACTATGATTCCCATGTATTCAGCCTGCAAGCAGACTGGAAGTGATGCTCACAAAGGCTCAAAGTTGGCTAGTTATGACGTATACTTTTCTTGGCTCTTTCATGGTGTAGACAGGTTAACATTATTCCACATTATATGTAATACAAAGACGTACTTAAATAGAAAAATATTGTAATGTTACTGTATGGACTTACAGTTTACACGAGCTACATCTGACAGTATTAAATTTAATAAAACTATGTAACACAAAAAGTCTCAAGAATTGAGAAGATTGAAGTTTTTGTCGGTATATCCTAGCAGCTCTGCATATTAGGACACTGAAAAACGTTTATAAAGTTCTATAGCTCGTGAAAACATAGTATAATGAAAAATAATTGAGAGTTAAGAGCGTTTACGCCGTTTGGCNTTACCCTATTTATGAACTAGATAAATATTTATAGGATAAACAATATTGTGTAAGATTATGTAGTTTCATATCTTAATATATTTATTAATTGCTCATTTACTTGTTACTTATATACATTTTCTCTGTTATTGGAGTATGTTTTAATTGCATTTATTATTGCTAAATCTGTGATTTATCGAATTTCGTTTGTTTTTACTTGTTTTATCTTACAAAATTTTATTCTTTATATTGTGTTGGGACTGGGTTATAGGTATTATTATGAAAATGGTTGAAATTATACAATTTTATTGATCGTAATGTGTTTTAATGTTTTTTTTTATATAACTTATGATAATTGATAATTTTGGATTTTAGTAAATCTAACATAAACGCATCGCTCTCCCACTTCGGGAGATATTGATGTAGTAGGACCACAGCATAATAAATCGGTAGGACGTTGCATTTTTTTAATAGTTGCTAATTTTTCTATTAAAAGGCTATAAAGTACCTACCCATGGATTGCTGTTACCTAATGATGATTAATTATCTAGTTTAGCCCACAAAATGGGGCGGGGATTCCCCATCACAATAATATTCGGCTATACACGAATTTTTGAATTTAAATATTGTTGGTAAACCATGAACATTTCACATACTCCCGGAGTCCCGCCGAGATAGCCTGTTTAGTGACATCTATCGGATAGTAGCAAGGATAAAAAGTACGTCTGCTCGATGATAGGTGTCGCTGTACGATGCTTTTTTATTTTCGTCAGCGCTCAACAGATGGCGTTAATAGACCTACAGGCGGAACCAGTAGTCGAGCGCGCGAAAAATCTATTTGATAGAATTTATAAAATGTTGATGTGTTGAATACACAATATCAGGTACAAGGCCATTTTGAAGAATAATTATTATTTCTGCTTTTAAAAACATAAGTTGCACAGTTCTCATGTTTGAAATGCTAGTTAGAAGAATATTTTTTTGGAGAAATTGGAAATTAAAGTACTTAATATAAAAATTAATAAAGAAAGAACAATAATTCGGGACACGTAATGCCACAATGTACCTACTGTCATACATGTCTGTACATAAACTGTAAAATTTTAAGTAGGTAAATCAATTATTATTATTTATTTATTTATTTTCTAAGTTTTTGTTCTAGAGAAGTTATGTGTTGTAATAATGATTATACCTCCAATTTGCCCCTTGGTTCGTGTAACCCCTTTGTGGTTTTACCTGTCATTTCTCTAAATGATATCTACTGCAATTGCTGACCACTAACATGCTATTATGATAATATGCACAAACTTTATCTACCTTACTAATAATAACGTCCCACCTACCTACACAATAAATTACACAAACATTTATTCCCAACGAAAGCTTTTTTAAACATCACTCATTCCGGGCGGATTAACTGTGATGCGACGAAAAAGGTTACCTATCCATTTTCCAGTACGTTGGGTCAACACTGACTCCATTCATCGGTGCAATGAAAATATTGGCCGTTTATCTTTTGTTCGCGAACTCCCAGCGATGAGCGGCGGAGTGTGCTGACGTCGTGTACGTAGAGTCAGTAAGCCCACCTTACGAGAGTGACAAAGCTAATAACTAAAGCTACCAATGGCAACTAAGGAAATTAACACAAGTTTCTAATTGATTAATATATGGTCTGACATGATCTAAGAACTAGAGTCACCAATGGCACCCTAAGGAGCTTAACATAAGTTACTAATTGATTCATAACTACAAAAAAAAACATACAATCGAATTGAGAGCTCCTTCCCTAAGCTGCGGTTAAACGCAATCCGCGAAAGCAAGAGAAGACTTTAGTGACTTTTTGAAGAACTTTTTGTAAATCGTTTAATTTGTAGGTAAATAAAAAGTTTGCGTATGAAAAAATCAGTATGGTAAGTGAACCACGTAGGCTGGGTTGCACCATCTTACTTTGACTTTAACACACGTCAAAAATCTGTCAAAGTCCATACAAAACACAGCGGTTATCGTCATAGTTACGGTCAAAGTTAGGTGGTGCGACACAGCCTAAGAAAATAATAATAGCGTTTCCCTGAGAGAAAATAATATAGACTAAGAGCTAGTGAACGCCAGACTTATACGTCATTTTATAAAAGTTGGAACTGACAGTTCCAACTCCTTGCCAGACAGTTTTTTTAGGGTAGCTCCCAAATCCACGATGACCCAAACTTCATAATTCACCAACATTAAGTAGGTATATGCTATTTTGGGAGCATACGCTGACAAACATTCAGCTTTTATAAAATGGTAGGTCTGGCGTTCACTAGCTCTTACTCTAATATAACTCAGTATGCCTTCCGTACACCTCTTCGTTGTGGCACTGTGTACACCCGAATTCGTTTATTGCAACAACTAAAAGGATTCCCACTCGCTGATATGTGAAATCACTATTTGGTTTGATATTGCCGGTGCGTTTTATTTTACAGTTAGCGAACAAATGGATTTTGCTCGATTCGAAGGTAAACTATGCAGCACTTGTTTTTCTGAATTTGTAAACAGTATTCATTTGTTTTTATTCAAACCAAACCCGTGTAAAATTAACATTGAAAATACGTTTATGAGTTTGTTTGAATGAAGAAATCTCTGATGCTACTGAAACGATTTTGAAAAGCTACGATACTGAAAAATCCACTCTTCAAAAATCGCTTGATACAGAAAGTAATGTTGTTTGGCTCGTGAAATTATAGCTCAAAATATTATTGTATTTAATTTCAAGCAAGGTAAAATGAAAAATCTTTACAAAAAGCAAAGTAAGGAAGCTCTACCTACGCGATCCCAATCGGCATTTAATTCCTCATTACAAACATTTGTCTTCTATTTAGCAATTCATCCAAGGGGTTGCTGATCGGTGATCAAGCGAGGCTTCCTCTGGCNTGTACATCATGTTTTTTTTAGATTTTTCATTTTCTTATTTTAGAAGTTAGAGGGGGGGGGGGGGGTTTAGGGTTCCATAGCCAAATGGCAAAAAACGGAACCCTTATAGATTTTTCCACTTTGGAAGCGTCTTGTCACGCAAACTATTCGGTTTAGAAAAAAAATATTTTAGAAAAGTCGATATCATTTTTGAAGACCTATCCATAGATACCCCACACGTGTTTGATGAAAAAAAAAATTTAGGTTAATTTGTAACTAAAAGAAGCCGAGAAGCAGTGAACAGTCATTGTACCAACTTATTCTGCAGGCCCAGGATGCGCACCATGATAAACGTTTATCGAGGCATTCATTTGATGTCTAAAATCATCGATAAGATTTTATCACGGCGAGCATTATAGCCCGACTGGTAAGTGAGCCACTAGGCAGACGTTAGAAGGTTTTAACTGAAAAAAAAGGAAATAATTTTCCGCGTTCATAACAACCGTTTTCCTTCAGAAAAGAACATAACTCAGTGGGCCTTCTGTACACCTCTTCGTTGTGGCACTGTGTACACCCGAATTCGTTTATTGCAACAACTAAAAGGATTCCCACTCGCTGATATGTGAAATCACTATTTGGTTTGATATTGCCGGTGCGTTTTATTTTACAGTTAGTGAACAAATGGATTTTGCTCGATTCGAAGGTAAACTATGCAGCACTTGTTTTTCTGAATTTGTAAACAGCATGCATTTGTTTTTTATTCAGACCAAACCTTTGTAAAATTAACATTGAAAATACGTTTATGAGTTTGTTCTCTTAAAAAATCGCTTGGAACAGAAAGTATGTTGTTTGGCGCGTGAAATTATAGCTCAAAATATTATTGTATTTAATTCCAAATAAGGTAAAATCTTTACAACAAGCAAACTAAGACTGCTCTACCTTCGCGATCCCAATCGGCATTTAATTCCTCATCACAAACATTTGTATTCTATTTAGCAATTCATCCAAGGGGTTGCTGATCGGTGATCAAGCGAGGCTCCCTCTGGTNCCTCTGGCGGAAGAATATGCTACAAATGAGACGAGCGGGCTAATAGGGCTGCGCACGCGACTATTCCCGCGGGACCTTGCGCGAGGGTTGCTAAACATGACTTTAGTGTTCTAATCGACATGTAAATACGAAATTGATCACTTATAATTATTTTTGGTATGATAATAATATGATAACAAATATAAAATATTAATTTTCAAAAACATATTGGAAAAGAAAATGGCTGTTAATATTTGGTAAAGGTAGCAGGGAAGCGTTGGATGCAGGCCGCTACCATTCGATCAACATGGAAAGCATTGGGGGAGGCCTATGTTCAGCAGTGGACGTCCTATGGCTGAAATGATGATGATGGTGATGATGATTTGGTAGCCATTCATTTCGACTCTGTGAGCCAATAATAATTGAAATGAAAGACAGAGCCGAGACAAAAGACCCGAGACGGGAGACCTCTTTCGGCAATACATCATTTCCTAAGCGAGACAGAGATATAAATCGAATCATGTTAATGGTTGCGGTTTGTAACTTTACAGTGACATACTTATTTTTTTCTAAAGTCTTACGACTGAAAAATCGACGCTAACCTACTCGTATAAGACATTTTCAACGTTATGACAATTTGATATTTCGTTTTACTGTGACTACCATAACCTTATTGACAAAAGTTTCTGTAATCCCAGCAGGCAGCCCTACGCCGCACCGCAGCGCACGCGTTGACGGATTGCGCCGCGATTGTCGCTGACGCGCGCGATATTGCCCCGATTGTCACATGTCACAATCGCTCCGTGTTACCCGCCAGATAAAACGTTTGATCTTGCCTGGCTCGCAGTCTTATGATGCTAATGTTTTGTAACTTTTTACTCACTTGTAACGAAGATAAAAATGGGAAGTGGGAAATAG